GGCCGGGCGGGGCGCATGCGCCCTCAGCGGCGATTTCCGTTCCTGACGTTTGGGGGCGCTGGCGTGAAGAAGGGGAAGGAAAAGTAAGGAGTACAGATGTCCCGAGGTATTTAGCGCACGAGAAAAAACACAAAACAAAACACAACAAACCAAAGGGCCCGCTGGTATCCCCAATAGAATGGGATATAGTTGAAGATTAACCTAAAAAAACAAAAAAATTGTGACAGCCAGACCCCAGATGCGGTAGGCAGGACGTCTTTGCGTTGGCTCTTGGGAAATGTAGTTGTCATGCTACCGACGCCGTCTGTTTGCGGCAGAAACTACAACTCCCAGATGCCACCGCAACACCTCTGGTCGCCGTGGGCGAACCAACGGCTCTGGAGGCCCGGGTTAACTGGGAACGTCCATCTGGTAAGCTTGGTTAGGCTTGGCGGTGGCTTGTTCATTGAAAGTGTTTTTCCTTCCTCTGCTTCAGCTCTGAAATTTTGGAGCCGAAGCCATCCATCTGGGATTGCTGCCTTTCGGTCCACAGTGGCTTGCGGGGAGAGCGGTGCAGGTGCCCCACACATTTTGGTGGGTGACTAAGGCAAGGATTTGGCGATCACGGTCTGAATTCAGGGTCGAGGGGCAGCCTGAAGCCAGGCAAACTGGGAAAGGCTCCACGCTGCTGCTCCGCTGGCCTCTGTCGTGTGAATCAGTGCTGGGTGGATTAAGAATCCCCGTGAGGTGCAAGGCACCTTTGCTCTACACAGATCTGTTTTGTGCTCTGTTTCCTCGGTCAAAAAGAATCTGGAGGAGAGCTCAGCAATCCGTCTCGTGTGAGACTGAAAAGAACTGCCAGTATTCTTAGGTTTGAATGTAACAAGCTTTGAAAAGTGCTGTATGAAAAGAAGCCTATAAACACCTCCTAAATGTATTATCTTCCAATGATTCAGTTGTTTCTCCAAAGATGTTTTGAAGTCATTATCCTTGAGAAAATGCGGGTTTGGAAGGTTGTTTTTTTTTTTTTTTATTAGCCTGGTAATCGGATTAGATTTTAATCCTTTGCTTTGCAGAGTAAATTTAGTCATAAAATATTATTAACCAGGGACTAGAGAGATGGCTCAGCAGTTAACACTTGTTCTTACAGAGGACCTGGGTTCGATTCTCAGCCCCCACGTGGCATCTCACAACCATCCATAACTCCAATTCCAGAGGACCTGATGCCTTCTGACCTCAGCAGACACCAGTCACACACGAGGTGCACAGGCATGCATACATACAAACTGTACAGTCATACATAAATAAAAAAAAACATAATAAAAACTAACCGGGCCTTGAACATGTACAACAGTTAAAAAAACAAAAAGATACCCCCTCATCTTGTTAGAGAACTACTGTGTAAATATACAGTTGTGATACTACTTAATAATGTGGTGGCTAGAGGAACATTCAGCCCCATCTTGGAAGTCTTCATCCCAAGGAAGACAAAGACCAGAAGACCAGCACTGAGGCTTCAGCCAGCTGGTGTCTGTCCGGTGTCTTCTGAGCAATAGGCCGTCACTGAGCACAGTGTCCCCTGCCGTCGTGGAGTGTGTATTCTAAGAAGCGACAATAAATAGCGAAGTAGAATACATCGCATGTGAAATGATGGCAGCCAGCGGGGAAGGAATGAAGAGTGCTTGGTGGTGGGAAAAGGTTCCTTTTCCTGTCCGGGGAGGATGGCTGCTGGATCACACAAGCTGGTTGCCTGCCGTCTCTGGACACTTGTGAGATGAGCTTGCAGGGTGGGATCACCCATATTTAAAGGCCCGTGGTATTGAGAGGATAGAGGGACCTGTTCGCCTCAAAGCTTGAGGGGGCCTTCAGGTACAAAGGGGTCGGAGGGGAGGACAGACAGTGGGCAGCAAGAATGCACTGAGGAGCTGAGTTTTCTGTGGACTTAATTTTCTAAACCACCTTCATATTAGCTCATCTAAGAACCTTTTGTTTGCCGGGCGGTGGTGGCGCACGCCTTTAATCCCAGCACTCAGGAGGCAGAGCCAGGCGGATCTCAGTGAGTTCGAGGCCAGCCTGGGCTACAGAGTGAGATCCAGGACAGGCACCAAAACTACACAGAGAAACCCTGTCTTGAAAAACAAACAAAAGAACCTTTTGTTCTTCTCCAGAAAGTCACAGTTGGCCCTTTGGGGCCATGTTTTTCCTTTTTGGGGTGGTGGTTTTTCTTATGTTTCATTTTCTGTTTTTCTTTTGTTTTCAGACTTTTCCAGATACTTTTCTGCAAGTTAATGTATATGCTTTGTGGTAGTTGATGAAACAACAGATACTATTTGTAGTAGAAATAAAGAATTACTGAAGACACTAGCTGTTGGGTTCTAAAGATCATCCAGTAGTTAGCATCATCATCGTCTGGGTGGGGCTTTCTTCAGTCTGAGCCCTAAGGAGAGACGGAGGCCAGAGGAGATGTGGAAGGCCTGGGTCGGGGGAGCTGGGTTCCAGAACTGACTGAAAATAAGACCTTGGAAGCTGCACTAAGCCGTGTACATGTATCATCCTTCCCTGGGGAGGTGAAGGCGGGAGTCCGAAGACAGCCTGGGTGACATGCTGAGGCCTTGTTTCACAGGAAACAGAACAGTAAAACAGACGGAAGGATTGCCGCTCGCTGTCATGGAAAAGTGCACATTTGTGTGTGGGAGAGGGCAGAGGACAGTAGCTTGGCCACTTGCCTTGGGATATGGAAGAGAAGTGAGGAAGACTGGCTGGAAATACAGTTTGAGGTTTCGTTATAGCGTTTTGATAATGGTTGCTGATTTCGACAAAGGAGGCACACTCACTACAGTTCAAACTTTGAAGTTATCAGCAGGTGTGATTCTAAAGGAGCAGCCAGCTTAGAGGGGAAAACCTCTGTCGTCCCAAAAACAAAATGAAGAAAGAGTTAGGAATGATTATGTCGAATATTCTAGGTCCAATGAAAGTAGGACTAATTGACCACTACATTTGTCATCGTGGAGATTATTAAATGGAGGATACAGGAAGCCATTGCTTTGGACTTCAGCTGTTGTGCTGACTCACCCCTTACCGCCAGATTGGAGAAAAAGAGAAAGGAAAAATCAAAATGGCCGCCCATGCTAATGTCCCACATATCCAAACTGAAACTAGGTTGTTACCTGGCCTGAGAAGTCAAGAGAATGACGAGTGGAATTTCCCAAATTAGCCATTTGGCATGGCAGTCCTGTTCCCTCTGCTTTGATCCCCACATTCTTTCGTCCTTCAAATAATAACATGAAGTAATCCAGTGTTAACCAGTTACTTCTTTGTTCTGTCTCTGCCCGACCTGTGGCAGAAAGTCGCTTTGAGATGACCAGTCTGCTCTGGTTGTTTCTACTCTGTGTTTTAACATCTCTAGCTACAAAGCTACCTCTGTGCAGCCCGCTGAAACACTCAGCTTGTTTATGGAATGAAGCGTTGCTCCCTTCAAAGTTGAACGCAAAACAATGTAAGGTTTTTAAATTGTAACTTTGTTGTTTGAGGAGGTCATTGGCGTGCTGATAAGAGACACAGCATCTCTGTCCTTGTTTTCTTTGTCCAGACTGCCTGTGTCTTGACTCATGTTCCTTTGAAGATCTTAGCTTGGCTATTTCTCGCTCAAAGACACGCCCCTAATTAGAGAAACGGACACATAGATGTACTCCTCGTGCAGCACGTGTCTTTACTGGCTGATGTGTTGTTGCAAATGCAGTTTTCAATTATGTTTTTAATTTGATTGGCAGCTGGCCAGGTAAAGGCCAAACACCTGAGAGCAGCGGTAGTGTCTGGTTCTGCTCTGCCTGGTAAAGCTCAGTACATTGCCTGCTTCCCAACACAGACTCAACAGAAGCTTGAGGTTTGTTGTGTGTGATGACCTGTTTGTTATCCCAGCACTCTAGAATCTGATACAGGAGGACCGGGAGTTCAAGACCAGCTTGAGCTACTTAGCAAGACCTTGTTTGAGGAGAGGGAAAGGTGAATAAGCATTGTACCAATGGATGAAAACATTCTCTCATGGTACTTCAAAAGTACTAAATATTGTGTATGGAAAAGGCTAGGCAGTTGATGGGTGGAACAAAGTATAATGAAAGCATTTTAGAAAACTGTATGCTTTTATGAGACATTTATTAAGACATCTGCAGAGCAAACCATTCTTAAACTGGGATTCAGTGGAACCAACTTTATAAAAACACAAGACTAAGTGCATCCACTTGTAGACCAAGTGATCTACAAGATCACTTCTTCACCCATTCATTCCTCTCTCTTTCCTAACAACCTCTTTCTGATGTAGTTCATAGTAGAATTGCTCCTCCTCAGCTGCTCCATCCGCTTACGGCTTCTTGCACATTTTCATCCTTGTCTACTCTGTCATTGCTCATTAACCAAAGTGTGCCGAGTTCTGCAGCACTGTGATACCATTTTAAAATACCATCCAGCCATGGCCCTGACGCGGCAACAGCTGGCCTACCCAGCGTTTTAACCCCAGGAAACAGTTCTTTTGTTTTCTTTTGAGGATGATTTTAGTTAAAATAACGAGCTCCCCAGAGTCTCTGGGCAGTGCTCTAAAATACAGTAAAAACTAGCCCAAGTGTTAGTGGCGTGTCTTACTGGTGCGCAGTGTTCCTTATAAGAGCAAAGGCTCTGTGATGGCCATTCTTGGCTGTCAACTTGACTACATCTGGAATTAACTGAAAACCCAGCAACTGGGCACACCTGAGAGGGTTTTTTAGTTAATTGGATTATTTGATGTCGGAAGACACCCTAAATCTGGGCCACACCTTCTCATATCGGCCTACATAAAGGACGAGGAAGAAGAAAGGTGCTTCTGTTTTTCACCTGTCTGCCCCCATTCTCAATGGCAAGTTCATCTACCCTACTGCTGAGGCATTCCTTCACTGGCATTGCAGCCTGCTTCTTTGGGATCCCCACGATGCACACTGAAGACCGCCTGAGACATCCATCCTCGTGGACTGAACAGCTATTGGATTCTCAGACTTTCCATTGAGAGACGGCCATTGTTGGACTAGCTGGACCACAGCCTGTGAACCACTCTAATAAATCACACACGCTTACACAGCTCTCTAGGAGTTTCCATGTGATTCTGTACCCACTCCGCTTTAAAAAAAAAAAAAAGTCCTAACTGAAATGAGGACACCGAGGCACAGAGGTAAAGGAACTGGCATGAGGTCAGACTGTAGGGAGACACATGGGAACTGGGTGCAGAAATCCATCCTTCCTCTGAGAAAGCAGTTCTGGAAAGGGCAACAGTAGCCGGTGTTGCGGTACACACCTGTAAGCTCAGCACTGGGGACTGGAATAGGAGTTTGAGGTCATTGTGCACTCCGTGCAAAACTAGGTAATTTACTAACACACTTTGAAACACCTGCCAAGTAAAGAGCATATTG